CAGAAAGACCCTGTCACGATGGACATCATCCGCAAACTTCAGGCAAAAGACAAGGCCACAGAAAGTGAGTTTGTGATGGTGGATGGGCTAATCTATCTTGATAAGGCCGGAGTAAAGAGATTGGTAGTTCCATCTAGTGAACAGTTGCGTAGTTTATTTTTAGGCGAATGTCATGACGCAACTGGGCACTTTTACTACAAGAAAACGAATGCTAACTTAGTACAGCGATTTTGGTGGCCCAGAATGTTAGATGACGCAAAGAAGTATGTTGAGACCTGTCAGGTCTGTCAGCGGGACAAGCCGCGAACTCAAGCACCGCTTGGGTTATTGAAGCCTTTACCTATTCCTGATGGTCCAGGATTGAGTGTTTCCATGGATTTCATGGACACCCTTGTGACCAGCAAGAGTGGTAAGAGGCACATCTTCGTCATCATTGACCGATTCACCAAGTACGCTAGACTAATTCCAATGCCAGAGACAGCCAGGACAGAATACGTCATCAAGTTGTTCAAGGACAACTGGGTAAGGGACTTTGGTTTACCAAAGACCATCATTAGTGACCAAGACGTCCGATTCACAAGTGAGTTGTGGAAGAAGACTGCGGAACAGATGGGCAGTCAACTTCAGATGACTTGAGGGAATCATCCCGAAGCCAACGGACAGGCCGAACAAATGAATAGAGTTGTACAACACTTGCTGAGGCATTACATCAAGCCCAGCCAGGATGACTGGGATGAGCAGTTACCTCTCATCGCCAGCCTGTACAACAATTCTATACATAGTAGTACCGGCGTTAGTCCTAACCAGCTGCACTTAGGATGGAAGCCTAGATCAGCATTAGACTTCCTCCTACCTGAAAACCGACCCGCTGCAACTCCAGGCACACTTGAATATGGTGTGCAATATGAGAAGTTGCTGCAAGATGCTGTTGAACATATGAAGAAAGCTCAGCAAGCCATGATTGCTTATGAGAATCAACATCGCAGACAGTCCACATTTCAGGTAGGGGAACGTGTCTGGGTCAAGGCTAGTGAGTTAGGACAGGAGTTCCGAATATCTCGTAAACTAATGCCTCAATACTTTGCTCCCTGGGAAGTCTTGGATGTAGTGGGAGATGAGTCGGATGGTCCCACATATGACATTCGTGTCCTTGGACACCTGCGCACTCACCGTCTTTCATGCCTCAAAGCTTGCACCTCGCTGAGACTGATCAATTCCCTTCCAGGAGATCGATGCTGCCCCCAACCATGGATGGACAAGTCGACATCGACGACATTGTGGATCACAGGGATATGCCTGTTCCGAAGCCGTTGGGTCGAGGAAGACCTCCTAAACCCAAGAGGGAGTACTGGATCAGATTCAGGCATCATACGGATCCTAAAGAAGATCGGTGGTTTACCCGGGAGGAACTAATGGAAACAGCTCCTCAGGTCGTGGCAGATTATGAACGGAAGCTAAAAGGGATGGCACCTGCGAAGTAAGCATCTCAGTGGACTTTCGAAGCTAAGGGGGATGGAATGTGAGGATTGAGCCCTCAAGTAGGGGCCTTGCCATGATGTACATGTTCTGGGCTAAGGCCCCAGCAAGCCTAGTGCCCGCCCTAAGTGAAGGCGGGCCAGCAAATCAACAAGAGCCCTCTCGGCCAACATTTCACGAAGTGGGGTCTRTACAGTTGCAGCACGCCAGTTGGTTGGAGTGCACCGAGTCTCGGATTTCAGCAAATGCTGAAATGCCCAGGGCCTMTGAGTTAGTTAGGCCCTGGGCACTCKAACRTGAGGCYGACAATGCATGCTGGGTAGAGAGGCCGAAAYGCCAAAGGGAAAATCGGCCCACTATCTGAATCTGGMCGCAGGCCTTGAGAAGAGAGGCGCARCTGCATTGCTCCGGGGYCCAACTGTATCGGGTAGGCTTCAGCCTCTGGGTCCCGGTCGCAGGCTGAAGGGAGGCCGCCCACAGGCTGCATTGGCATATAGGCAAGCAGGGCGAGGCAGCAAGGATCTTGGCCAATGCTGGCACATGCGGGCACGCTGCACGGATGCATGTGTGCTGCGCTGTGCAAGGCAGTGCTGCGCTAAGAGCAAGCAGGCCAGCGCTAGGCGGTAGGGCGCTGCCTGCACTGAGGGCACTGGCGGCCATAGCTTGGGCCGCAAGAGGGKGCAGGGGAGGTGAGGGCGAAGGTGGTACTTCGGAGGTGAAGGGCGCTGTGGGTAACAAGGGAGAGTGTGGGGAAGATGACACGTACCTGGTGATGGTGGAATACGGCATTGGTGTTGACATCATCACTCGCTGGTAGTCAAGTTGTCCGGTTGCTGTTCATTGCTGTAGTTGTAGAGAGCATAGAGTAGATAGGGCGCCTGACGCCATTCACAAGAGAGAGCTACATTTGGGTTATGCTGTTGGTGTTGCCCTGTTGGGCATGGACATTGACTCACGATTCTTCTGTATCATTCTCAATGGGATGGTTACTACATTTGGGTTATGCTGTTGGTGTTGCCCTGTTGGGCATGGACATTGACTCACGATTCTTCTGTATCATTCTCAATGGGATGGTTACTCGGTTCCATGTGCTATCTGCTTTGGCTCTGAATACTTGGACTTCAGTGTGATTTTGCATTCTGGATTTCTGTGCTTCGTCCATACTCATGTTCCTTGCACAACAGTCTGAGCAAAAAAAAAGAGAAAAACAAGTCTGTCGATCTGTACGCCTTTTCTGAATGCTCTTTGTGATCATTTCCTGCCCCTTTTGTGGACTGCCTTTTTTTGTTCCTGTCTGGATTGCTGTTGCTTTCTGCGTCTTTGCAGCGATTTGTGAAGAAGGAGCTGCACATAACGCCGACGGGCGCGGAAGTTGTGGGAGGAAATATCGTCTCGGCAGTATCGCTGGAATCGTTCTTCCGGCCCCCTTCAGTATGAAAGGTCACACCACACTTGTGTCACACGAGCTTGCTCTGTATAATTCCCTGAGCTCGATCACTGAGCTTGGGATTTCTCTATTTTTTTTCATTTTTTTTTCCCTCCTTTTTTGGGGATTTCGCCATCTTCTCTGCATTCTTTTCTTCTGTCTTTTTTCATTTGTTCTGGTCGCGTCGCTTTTCCCTCTCCAGTGTGTATCGCATGGTTGGTGGCTCCTGTCCGCGAGGTTTCACGGGTCATCTTGGCCGTTGTGCATCTCTCGGTCTTCGTGTTCTTTCGTCCTTTTGTCTGCCCGTCTCTCTTTTTCGATGCTCTACATGTGCAGTCCAGAAATTGACACAGGTTCGATCCCCTTGACCTCATCTTGTTTGAAAGGAATGAATTGTTGTGATAAAATGAGTCAGGTTCATCATAAATGCGTCTTGTAGAGGGAGGGTCTTGTCCGTCTACCTCCCTGTACTTGCCAGCAGTAATTGTCTTTCTTTACCGTGAGTTGGTCTTGGATTCGCTTTCCGGAGAGAGAGAGAGAGAAAATTGCAGCCGCAGTGAGTTCGCATCTCCATCGAGACTTTTATTCAACATCTTTATGAGATATCTGTCTTCACAGTTGCCTGATACAAAGCACCCCCCACGCCCCGACCTTCTCTTCATCCGATTCATCGCACCCTTGCGTGACCAGGCATGCAAAAAAAACATAAAGGCAAAAGCGGTATAGGCTGGAGGGCACGGGGGGGTGGGCGGGGGGGGACGGGGAGGGAAGACGACATGCAAGCACACAAAACAGGCAATCGAATATATGCGAAGACCAAACAAAATAAAGATAAATAAGAGCTGATGATGAGCGATTGTTTCGTCGGAGTTGCACCAACTCATTAGGAGGTGCAAACCTTTGACAATCTGCGGAATCCCCGTATTGATGGTTCGGGTCGTGAACCCTTAGAGGCTTAGACCCATGTTGAGGGCAGACTGTCCCCAGGCGGAAAATAGCCGCGGGGCTGAGCGGGCAGCAACTCAGAGAAGCAGCGGGCAACGCTGCCCCAGAGCAGCTCAACCGCATATCGCGACAGGCAACTGCTGGACGCGGAACCGGCGGGTCGGACAGCATGCGGATGGGCAGACTGCCCCCAGGCAGAAAATAGCAGCGGGGCTGAGCGGGCAGCGACTCAGAGAAGCACCAGGCGACGCTGCCCGGGAGCAGCTCAACCGCATATCGCGAAAGATAATTGCAGGACGTGGAACCGACAGAACGGACAGCATGCGGATGGGCGGCAAGGCAGCAGAGGAGCGAGGTGCACAAGCGGAACATATCAGCAAGCTAACAACTCAGCGAAGCACCGCCTCAGCTGCCACCCCGACTCAACCTCCCCTTCATTGCTGCTCCTTGCATTTGAGAGGTTGTTAGGGATTCAAAGTGCCAGCTCCAGAGTCGCCGGGCATTCCACTTTTCACGCGAATGTGGAGGCAATCTAGCAAATGAACGTGTGCTTGCATTCCCCGACAACAGCCCCTTTACCTTCTCTTTCATCGCAACCCCGCTGATCTGGCCACTCCCTCCACCTTGTCGTCATGTCCTTCATCGCTTCTCCCATTGAGGGGTGTTATTTTTTCTAGACCAGGACGTCCTAGTGTGATTATGATGCCCTTTGCTTGCTGAGGATGAGAATGCACCAGTCGGACCTTCTATTAATTGCTCCCCCTCTTCCCTGGCCCCCAGTCAATTCTGACTCCTTCATTGATTCTCCCATTTGTAGGTGGTTTGTCTCTGTTCAAAGTGCTAGCTTAGGAGTTGCATGGTGTGTCCTTTTTTTTTAACGCAAACTCGGACCCCCCCCCCCCCCCCCCCCCCCCGCTCTCCCCTACCCCGCTCCCCCCCCTCTACCTGCCACTCAAGTCAATCTCTTCCTCCATCGCTTCTTCCTAGCTGCTTTTTGTTTTTTTTTTGGATGCAGCCCCCATCTAGCAATTTATGTCCTCGATTTCCTGAGAATCATCCTTGTTTCACTTTTCGCTCTTGCGTAATCATATCGCCATGTCAGAACGCGTGAGCGCTCGTCCTGCATGCTTGTGTTTCCTGAGGCTTCTTCGCTCTCTCTCTCTCTCTCTCTCTCTCTCTCTCTCTCTCTCTCTCTCTCTCTCTCTCNTCTCTCTCTCTCTCTCTCTCTCTCTCTCTCTCTCTCTCTCTCTCTCTCTCTCTCTCTCTCTCTCTCTCTCTCTCTCTCTCTCTCCTTGTCAGCGAGCCTGCGTTTCTTGTGGCCCTGCCGGCTTCGGTTCACTCCTGTCAGGCCTGTCCTCCAGGTGTAATTGACTGCCTGGTTTCCATATGCCTGAGGATTTCTTCTCTCTCCCGTCCGCCGTGCTCGTGCGTCTGGTGTCCCTGCTGGCTTTGTCTCTCTCTCCCGTCAGCCGTGCGAGCGCGTCGGGCAGAGTGCATGCACCCTTGTCCTGCACGTGTAGTGTTCCCGAGGCTTCTAATATGGCCCTGCTGTCCCCTGCTGTCCCAGGTTCTCTTCTGTCAGGTCTGACCTGCAGGTGTAATTGACTGCAGCGTGGCCATAGCTAGCTAGGTATGCCGGACGCTTCAGTCCTCTCGTGTCAGGCGTCTCTCGCACTTCTAGTGCCCCTGCTGTCGCCACTTGTCTCCTATCGGACCTGACCTGCTGGTGTAATCGACTGCATCATGGCCATGGCTGTCTATCAAACGACTGGCGCAGGAGCAGCGCAAGGGAGTCGGGGAACGGCCAGTGGCGGTGTATATATAGCCGCCGCCGATGGTCCAGAATGTGGGTCAATAGATAGACCAGATTCATCGGAGCAGAGCGGCGCCAACCTTTTTTGAAGTAAAGATAAGATGATGACGGGTCTCGCTCCACTGCGCGAACTCCTAAGTGAGTCTGGTGCGGAAAATGGTTCAGATACCTTCCGATTGCCGGATCAGTCCCCAGAATGTATACGGTACAGAAACAAGTCCTGATGCATTTAGAACGTTGAGTAGGGGAGCGAGGCCCGGTGGCATCTTGTCATTCGTTATTTGTCCTATTGTGTGTGTACTTAGGTGCATGCTGGTCTTTTTCGACAGTATCTGGCTGTAATTGCGGGCATGCTCGCAGGTGGGATTTTTTGATAGAATTTGGCTGTGGTTGTCGACACATACGGGCGTTCTCGCACTTGGACTTTTTTGAATGAATCTGGCCGTAATTGTGGGCACTTACGGGCATGCTCAGGCTTGGACGTTTTGGACAGAATCTGGCTGTAATTGTGGGCACATACACTGTAGAATGTTCTGGTGAGAGGATGATAGCCTTAGCTGTTGTTGTCATGTAGACGGTCTGTGTCAAATCTGGGTGCATTTCAGTAGTAATATTATATTTAATAAATATTAAATAATAAAAATAAATATAATCTCATACTGAGTCGTACACTTATTGCAGCCGTATGATTGTGGGTGTGCGCACTCGTTGCAGTAATCGAATGTCGTTATACGTATATACTATATTTTTTTCTTTCTTTTTTTTCTTTTTTTCTTTCTTTTTCTTTTTCCCCTTTCCTGTCAGGTTTTCTTCCTCGAGTAGAATTGTACTGTCTTGATTGAGGCATTCATTCATCGATTTTTGATGTGCAATGTGCATCTTTTTTTCTTCTTTTTTTCCCCTTGATGGGGTGCATCTGTTTGCTCGTGTGGAGGGGCATATGACATTGGTGTGCCGCGGGGCCGGGCGGAGGAAGTGCGGGGGCTTCTTCCTTCATAGAATTGTACTGCGTTGACTAGGGATTCATTCGGCCGAATATTTGTCTTCTCGCTCATCTCGAGGGGCGTATGATATTTTGTTGTTGTTGACATCACTTTTTATGTTTCTTGTCTCGTATCTGTTTTTCATTTCTTTATTTTTCAGTAACACCCCTTGGTGGTGGCAGTGGAGATTTTTGGTCCCAAAAAAACAATAAAAAGAAATGGACTTTTGGGAGTGAGAGAGGGTCAGGCCCCACTGGTACTACTATGTTCATCCTTGGAGAGCATGAATCACCTGGTCATTGTCATGGTCAGGTGTGTGATTTGTTAGCATGCACATAGCCTCACCGTCGGGGCTGGCCCTGAGTCCTTATTGCTGCAATGTTACGTGCAGATAAACAAGTACGACTCCTTGTGAAAATGGCCTAGCTCAGTTGGTAGATCAGGCAAGTGGCATTCAGAAGGTCGTGGGTTCGAATCTCACTTCGCTCACCCCGCGGGCCCAGCTGAGATAGTTGGCTCGCCCCTCCTGCTCCTGGTTGGTTAGGAGGTAGCTGGGGAGTTGCCTTCTAGGTCGCGTCAGGCGTCAAGGATTGCAGCGTTGTTTAGGCACGGGTGGAGGGTGGAGGTTGGTGTCAACCCTTACCCATAACTGGCCGACGGTCCAAATCATACTTGCAAGCAGATGGACTGGACGAGCGTCCGGTCCAGTCCGCTTTGCCGCGTGCGGCACCCTCCCCCCGGACCGGACGGACTCGGACCAGACCGGACGGGGGCTTTTTTTTTTTTTTGCGGGTGGGGCGTAACTGGTCGTCGGGCGCACATTCGTGCGCTGCGCGGGTCCGGTCCGGCGGTCTGCCGCACGTGCGGAACCCCCCGGACGGCGTCCCCTTGCAAGTATGGTCCAAATGCTGCGATCCAATCGGCCACCAAATATGACGAGTCTTCTGCATGAGAAGATTCAAGATGACGGATCTTGACTCTAGTGCGAAGGCACCTGTATAAGATAAAGCGGCCTCTTATACGGTCGGTCGCTTCGTCCAGTTATGGGTAGTCAATAGTGACGGCAACCACGGCAGGTTGGATCAAAAGATGGCCACATTGGTCGGCCGTTCGGCCCTCGTCTATCCAAATTGAATGTGGTACTTCACGAGCTTCGGAAAGTTGTCATGCGACTGAAGAGCATTGCCGATAGAGGGTCGTCGATAGTGAGGGCAACCACGGCAGGTGGCTGACAAAAAAGCTGACCGGCGACTATGAAAAAAAAAAAAAAAACATTCAACGACGGCGAGTTGGACTTGGATAGGAGATTAGGCTATACAGTGGACCCCTGCAAGGATCGCTTTCTACCTCTCTCTTTGGTGAAGGGAGGTTATCTCTCTTGGTGCAGAGGGGGGTCCCCTGTATAGCCTTTAGGAGTAGTGGTAGGTAGATAGTGAACGATGAAAAAAGATGCATGTTGCATGACATGGGAGAAGCCAGTTAAAAATTATGTGAGGTGATACCTTCCTCGGGGGCTTTTTTTTGGCTAAAAATAGATCAAGTGCACTGTATCTGGTCTGTTCTGATCAGTTTAATATCTTATCCGTGGTCTATCGGACCACACGATATTAAATTATTTTTTCTTGGGGTTCAAAAAAAAAAAAAAAAAAAAGTGAGGTGAGAGGAAAAATATATGGCTGTCCCCCGATGAGGAGGAGAAGGCACAGCTTTTGAAAACATAAAAGATAGGAGATTTGGTAGCATGAGGCATATGTGAGATGAATATAGCTTAGCTTTTAAAACTTTTTCTAATTAAAAAAAAAGAAGACGGCTTGTGTGCAATCAGACTCGCTCTCATTCACACTTTTCATGCATGCAAACAGGTGCGCAGCAAACTGGCGACAAGCGCCCACTCAAAACTCAGAGATATGGGAACCAAACCGCAACTCAGATACAAGTTCAGCGCCCACACAACTCTTTGTTCGCACACACAGGATCACCCTGGATATCCCACGCACACTACTCTGAGCACACACACACTCACACGCTGAACTCTAACTACAGCTATGGCGGCTATGGCCGCTGCTACCCTATGGCTATGGCTACGCTCCTCCTCTCTTGCCCACTTCGTCTTCGGGCTCACTGCAGACCACCTAGCACAAGTCGCTGTGGCAGCGCTTCCGCATGGCTCACGCAGGAATGAATGAATGGCTGGACGCTGCCCTCTGATTTATACTTCTGCAGCTCGTTGGTCTGGCCCTTTCCCATGCCCGAATGTACACACAGTCCCATGCGGTACTTGCTTGGCTGGACTAGGACTGTCTAGGACTGGGACTGCTGACTCAGCACGGGTAGACTCCACCACTTGCGCACTTGCCTCAGTCTAAACATGGGCCACTTCGAAAGGCCACTACTCGGACCTTCCGGAAGGCCGTAGACTTGGCCTTTCGAGACTGTAGCAGCTACGACCTTGACCTTTCTGGCCTGTAGCAGCTACGATCTTGACCCTTCGGAGAAACTACAGCTACGACTTCTAGACCTGACTAAGGCTCCTACTCGACAGGTCTACAGATCGAACCTCTGCTACCTATGGACCCTACAACAATCTACCAGCTGTTACAAATACACAGTTCACTGGTTCAAGTCTAGGGGTCGACACAGATATTGTACACAGGTAAGGTGGGGACTAGGGATCGAGCCCTGGGATCTGCATCGGCTACTGCGAACTGGTGAATACTGTTTCACTCCCGCCGGCCTAAATTCGAGGTCCTCCGAGAATAATTCAGTCCAAGGCAGGACCTTTACCTTTCTTATCTCTTTCATAGGCTCTCACTATGCCGGGAGCTGTTTCTAGAAGTTCTGTTCTGGTAAACCAGCGGTCGTCCTCTGGTTCCTGATAAGCGAATCGGACCTTATATTGTTTCTGTGGACGACCTCTACCTCCTGTTCTAAACACATCTTCACCTACAATGTCGTCAATGTCATACCTTCTGTCCATGTCTGGAGGGATCATGGACCGTGTGGATGGAAATTCTGTCAATGTCTGGAGGTGTGGAGGTGTGATGGGATCTCTATGGTGTAGGATGGCCCATCCGCTCCGCCCTTGACTTCTAGAACTGGCCACGGTCCTCTATACGCGGGCAGTAACATCTGCGAGATGTTTTCCTGAGGAGCAAACTCTTTAGACTTGACCCAGACCAGGTCACCTACCTGAAACTGATGACGGGCGACGGTGTTTATTAGCCTGTTCTATCATTCGGTGCAGGGTGTTCCTGAGGTTCTCAATAACAGTGCTATTTCTCTCTCATGCTGTATCGCAAACTCCCTGGTACCGGGCGGTAGCTTGTGAATCTGATCCCGGTTAAGTCCGTCAAACGGTCTGCGCGGATTAAAGGACTTGTGGAACTCATTGGAGTGTGACAGGTGGACAAGTGCACGCTGTTATCGTACTCAGAGCATCCGCAACTACATTGCACTTGCCTTTAACATGCTTGAGCTTGAAGTCATATTGTTTTATCTCAGCAGCCCACCTAGTGAACTTAGGTGTCATCTTGGCGTGTGTTTTCAACCATCTAAGCGTCTCATGGTCTGAATACACCTTGAAGTGCCTCCCAAGCAGGTAATGCTTCCAATGCTTTAAAGCCTGCCTTAGAGCGTAGAGTTCTCTCTCGTACGTCGAGGTAGCTACCTTCTCTGAGGGCATCCTCGTTGACATGATCTCTACGGGTTTGTAGCCATTGTCGTCGTCCTGCTGTTACACGGCGCCTATCACATACTGACTCGCGTTCGTGGTGACAACAAATGGCAAAGACGGATCTGCTACTTTGAGGACAGGGTACTCTATCAATGCGTGCTTTAACTTTTTTAGCGTAGACGTGCAATCCTTATCCCACTGCCAGATTGCCTCTTTCTTGAGCAACCTGCGAAGGGGAGCGGCGATGGTGGAGAAGTTCCTCACAAACTTCCCATAGTAGTTAGCTAGGCCCAGGAACGACCGCAACTCAGTCAATGTGCGGGGCGTCGGCCAATCTCTAATCGCCGTTATCTTACTGTCCTCAGGCTTGATGCCATCTCTGTCTAACACGTGGCCCAGGTACAAGACTTGTGTCTTGGCCCACTCGCACTTCTTCGCGTTGATCTTGAAGTTAGCCTCTCTCAGCTTCTCCAAGGCCTACCTCAAATGACCCTGGTGCTCCTGGAAGGTCCTACTGAACACTAAGATATCGTCTAAATAAATTGCGACGAATCTATCCAACCAAGGCCTAAACAGACCATTCATACAACGCTGGAATGTAGCAGACGCGTTGGTAAGTCCAAAGGGCATCACTATCAACTCATAATGCCCATAACGAGTTCGGAACACAGTCCTGTACTGGTCATCAGGATGGACCTCTATCTGATGATACCCGGACTTCAAATCTATCTCTGAAAAATACTTGCAACCCTGCACCCGATCTAAGAGATCGTCTATCCTGGACAGTGGTTCAACATTCTTAACGGTAATGGCATTCATACCCCTATAGTCTATACACATGCACAACTCTCCTTCCTTCTTGGGGACGAACAAAATTGGTGCTCCAAAAGGAGACGAACTGGGCCTAATCCAACCTTTCTCTAGGAGCCCATCTAATTGCTTGCGCAACTCCTCTAACTCTCTACGGGACATCCTGTAAACTGCT